AAATGTTAGACTAGCCAAAGACTCTCTGAATCAGACTGGCCAAAGACTCTCTGAACCCAGAATGTGGGTTCACAGGTCACATTCATCAGCTTCACCACCAAAACTTGCTGAAAATGTTAGACTAGCCAAAGACTCTCTGAATCAGAATGTTTGAGGGAAGAGCTTGGGAATCCACACACTTAATAGGCAGCCCCATACACTTTGGGCTTATGAAATTTGCAGAAGCACAATATAATTACATCATCCTCACTGGACCATGCAGAAACACGAACACTCTTGTGTTTCTTTGTCTCTAGGTACTAGCCAGACTATTTTAAAAAGAGCTAAGTATAAATCAAGCAAAATATTCTACAATGTTCTCAGACATAATTGTCTCAGAACTCCCAGAGCAAGCTATTCAAATATCTATTTTAAAACATCTCATGTAATCGTATAATTATTTCTTTGTGTGTCTGTTTGTGCCATGAGACTGTGAGCACAGTAAGAGCAAGGTGGCGGTCTGTCCATCTTCTTGGCTCCAAGCTCCAGATCAGTGACTGCATAAAGACAGTACACAGCATTTTTTTAGTAGATTATTTACGAGATGAATTTAATACATTTGGAGAAACCTGATGTTTTTAGATATTCTCAACTCTTCCAAACATAATTTTCTGAGTCATTAATAGAACAAGAGCACTTCAAAAATTCCGATTTACTTCCTCTTGACGGAAGCCCAAGGATAAACATTCTTTTCAGGTTTCACAGGTCATTCTAATCTATAGGTGGGTTTGAAAATGAGTGGTGTAGAAAGAAGATAAATGTAGCAGACAAAATAATAGGGGGCTAGACATTTTCATGCCCTATTTCCCCAGCATCTGTGATTCCAGAAGCAGGTCGTGTTATATGTCTATGTTAACATGCAAAGAGGATCCTAGATAATCTTGAAATGTCTGCTACAGCCTGAACTAATTACTTAGTTCTTAAAAGTAGAAGAGGAAAGGAGAAGAGTGAGTCAGAGAGATGTAGCAGAGGAGGAAGC